TTAACGGAATTAGTAACGATATGTGAGTATTTTAGGAAATTTAGTGTAAAATTTAAATTTGATCAATCTTTTAATCAATCTGAGCCATTCATTTGATTAAAATCTGTGACCGCCATTTTTTCTACCCATTATAGGCCTAACTCTCTTGGGCTCTTATTAGTATAGTAGATATATATATATATATATATATATATATATATATATATATATATATATATATATATATATATATATATATATATATATAGTAGATATAATATTTTTGAAGAAAACTGTAATACTTTTAAATCAAAATGTAAAAGTATTACATTTTCTCATATAAGTAATAAACACTTTATTCTTAATTAGTATACATTCGTGACTATAAGTATTATATTTAATCTTGACCCAACTCAACATGACTCGTCTCACGGTGAGACAGTCTTACACAAGTTTTTGCCATTATCTTATATTATCTCCTTTTTGTTTCAAGTATTCTATATGATATATATTTTCCTTTCGTAAAACTCTTTTGATGACTAAATACTTATGGTGAAACAATCTCTTCCGAATGTGTCATTCTTATTTTCGACTAAGGGTGTGTTTGGAAATCATTTTCTAGATTTTCAATGTTTGTAAAGAAGAAAAATTTAAAGTCAACTGCGAATGAGGTATTGGACAATGGAAAATGAACCTGTTTTCTGGAAAACAACTTCCCATTTTTTAAAGGGGAAATCATTTTCCAAATGTTGGCTTCTTCATTTTCTTGAAGCCAAGAGAAACTGACCTTCTTCAACTTTTTGCTGCTACTTTCTTCTTCGTCTTTCTTATTGTCAACTGTCATGGCATTGGGTCCAGTGCTCACTGGTTTCTTCTTCATCTTCTGGAAACCAGAGCATAGGTTTCCGCTGGAAACTTGAGCACTGGTTAGTGCTCTGGTTTCCTTTAAGCTTTGGTTTCCGCCGAAAACCAAAGTTTTTTTTTTTTTTTTTTTTTTTAAATAAACAACCCATCTAGTTTTTGCCGCGAAAACCAGATCTGGTTTTCGACGAGGAAACTAGACATGGTTTCCGCCAAAAACCAATGAAGATTCCCTTTGTTTTGTTTGTTTTGTTTGTTTTTTTTTTTCAAATATTGCTTGATATTTTAATATTGTAGGATTATATTTAAAATTATTTTAGTATTATTATTATAAATATTTTTATATTCTAAATAAAATAATTAAAATATTTATTTAAAAAATTCTACTCATTTTTCAGAAAATGAACCAAACACACCAATGTCTGCAGTTTTCCAGAATGCAACCAAAATCCGGAAAGAAAAATGTTTTTTGAAAAATGACTCATTTTTTAAAAAACATTTCCAAAAGTCATTTTCCTGCTTTCCAAACGGACCCTAAATTTTCTATAGAACTGTGTTTTCCATTTTCACGAATATATTGAGTGTATAACCTTGCCGGCGATTGATTAAGTTAGCGAATTTGTAACTTCTAATCTCTGATCTATTTCTTGCCTTTAACTTTTTTCAGTACTATTGACTCTATTAGGATATAGTATTTGTCTTTTCCTCAGAAAGAATATAGTATCTGTACGTCCATTCCTTTATTCATTTTCTAAGAATATAAAATTACACATTGATTTTGAGGATTCTAATTTCCTCATACATAATATAAGAATAAAAAAAACTATTAATTACACTTGTTTCGAACAAGTTTAATTATATAAAAAGTTAGATTTAATCAATTAATTAATTCATTCATAAATGGAAATGAAATTTTGGTAGAGTTTGTATTGAAGGATGTATAATTTTGCACCTAAATATGCAAGAAAAATATCACTTTTCAAATGAAAGTTTTGATTTACCTCTTTTTTTTTTTCTTTTTTTTTTTGTTGAATATTTTGTAATTTGATAAAAGTTGTTAGTAAATATTTACTCTTTATTCTTCAATTATAAAAATATAAAGGGTAACTCAAATTAAATAATAATAATTATTATAATATATTATTTCAATCTGTTCATAACGTACTGGTACTACCGCGAATGATGGAACAAAATTATTAATATGTTTGAAAATAATATAGCACATCACATGTTAACAATGTGCAGACGTGCAGTCTAACTCGTACAACAATCCGTACGTAAATAATGTAGCACATCACATGTTAACAATGTGCAGACGTGCAGTCTAACTCGTACAACAATCCGGACGTAAATAATGTAGCACAACACATGTTAACAATCTGCAGACGTGCAGTCTATCTCGTACAACAATTCGTACGTAAATACGGAGTAGTTTGTAAATGTATTACCATCATTAGTGATAGAAAGTTAAAATTTTTATTAAAATGCCGACCAACTTACGGTTGGACGGAAATGTTGGACGGAAATAGCGAGATTTCCAGTAGTGACTCCCAATTTGTAATCTCAACTTGTACTTCTACACACAAAACTTTGATGTAGACACTTGTATTGGGACCCATATGAAAAAAATAACTTATCAGAATCCGCCATATCAAGGACTAAAATTTAGGGAGTAAGATTAGGGAGTACATGTAGTAGAACTCTTAAATTATAGCAGTCGAAGAGATATTTGAGATGTGCACTTAGAGAGTAGAGTTGTTATATCATGGATCAGGTCCATTTTGTATTGTGAACTTTGGTTCAAAAATTATGTGTAAAATTAATATATTATATATATTCACCACAAGCACACAATATATTAACTGCAAACATATAATATAAAGGTCATTTTGAACCAGTGTCCATTATGTAAGGTAGACCATGGTTCATGGTATAATTGTGGGCAATACTATTTAGTTGAGTTTGAATGCATTTCGTTATTCCTGCTAGGATTTATATTATGATTTATACATGTCTCTTATATATATATATATATATATATATATATATATATATATATATATATATATATATATAATGCAATATATAAAAAATTTCTTTATGCATACTCTCATATATATCAGGTTCCAGAGTCAATTACACATCCTGATAACTAATTATGTTAGTTGTTTTAACCAGCTAAGTTGTTTGGTAAATAAGTAAATTAGTTCTTTACACTTATTTATGTAAGTTGTGCATGTGTCTTATAGGTGCAACTACATAGGCAGAGGCACACCCGTGCGGTGTGCATGTGACAAAACCTTAAAAGTTTCTTATAAATAGATCTTTTTCTCGTTTTAGCAAAAGAGAGAGATGCCACCGTAGCCATAGTAGTAGAGAAAAGTGTTGTTTAAGGTATTTTCTACTTTTGTAGTCTTTTCTTTGTTCTAGCTTTGATATTATTGCATATTTTGGATGATTGTTGTATTTATCTACTCTATCTTGTTGAATTCTAGTTTATTGAAACTATTTTCATTTCCATTTGTCTCTTACATTGTTGAATGATGATACTGATGAATGTTCTTGTGTTCTATCGTTATATTATGAGTGAGTAGAGTAATTTAGGAGTTGGATAGTGGTGATTATTGTGTTTGGATGGCTATTTGATATTTATTTCATTCAAGGCTTGAAACCCAACCTAGGGTTCTTTATTTTAATGAGATGTTTTGTGTGTGAGTGTTGATGGGTTTGTGCACTACCTTGTCACCACTTGTCTAGTATGAAATATTGGCAACCGAATGGGTAAGGAGTCCACGGGTTATCACACCCTTAGACTCATCCATCAATCATCATAATTCTTAAGACCATATCTCACGATATTCAAGCTCACTTACGAGGGTAGGGAGTGTAGAAGGTTGATAAGTGTCAAAAGATGCTACTTTTAAGGGTCAATTTTGGAGAATTCTATGCTTATTTAGGAATTTGTGTAGCTCTTAGCTGGATTAAGGAGATGGGTGTGGATAATGTTGATGTTATGACGGACTCACAACAGTCGTTCCATGCTATTAATTATGCTTCTTTTAATTATCTTTTCGATATAGTAGTTGATGATGTTAAAGAATAGCATTCACTATGGTGTTTGTTTCCGTTTTGTTAAGCGGTTTGTGAATCGTGCCGCCCACATTGTTAATAGGGAGACCGTTTCTAAGTGACAGAACACTCCGCCTTATTATCTTCGTTACAGAATTATCTCATGCCTCTCGAAGGACATTCTTTATTATGAGTGTTAGCTAGCCAATTAAGAATTGAATGGTCAATACTCCACATGGCATCCAGTTAGTAGTTATGGCATCAAAAACGTTCCCATACAACTTTCAATCAACGTATTAATTTCCAACCGACCATTCAACCTAAACTAGGAGAACGTGAAAATAATTCCAATTTGTAAGCATTACCAGCTACAAAAAATACAAATTCAGCGTAATCTCAATCATATATTAAAAAAATAATAGACGTGTAATCTCCGTGTATCAGTTGGGAAAATTAAAACACATTTTTAAATTAATCAACTCCTTTCTTTGAAATACTCATGGTAGTTGGCAAATTAATCAATCAATTTCTAATTAAGGGTCGTTGTACATAATTTGTTGCAATTTATTACTGATGAAAAATTATTACTCCCTATATTTGTATTTGATATTTTTAGTCCTAAATTTATAGGTAGCAGTCCACTTTTAGTTATTTTGTTATAAAAACATTCATTTGGTCATAGTATTATTGTGGCATGACCATTTTTAGTCCTCTGTCAACAATATTGTTTAAATACACTTAAATACAAAGGCTTTTTGGTCTTCAATTAGGAGTTTTTTTTTTTTCAAAAATAAAAATACAGCAGATCAATCAACTTTTATAAAAAAAAAAAATGGAAATGCCCATGTATATAATGACATTTTAAAGGTTTTGTTGATAGAAAACCAGGAACGAATATGCCATAGTAATACTAGAACCAAATGTAATATACTAAAAGAAAAAAGACTAAAAGCAGACATTTACCAATAAATCTAGGATAAAAAATGGAATTAAATCTATTTTATTAGGTTGAGAATGATAATTGCACAAATAATTAAGGAAATCATGATATCATCCATTAGTATCTCCCTTTATATACCCTCACCAATTCAAATCTTCTTTGCAAGGAACAAAAAACAGAGAACTAACTCAAATCTAAAAGTCCTCTCCAAAATCACTCAAAAAAAATGATGAGCTTTAATTGGTATGGTAAAAAGCTACAACATCTTTGTAGTGGCCCAACCATGAAACTCTGTTCTTGTTGCAGATCAACTTGTTTCATTGTTTCTTCCATTTACCACTCCATTCTCTTCAAGATTAATCCAATCCTTGCCCAAATTCTCTACTTCATTCTCTTGTCCTCCTTTGGGTTCTTGATTCTCAAAGCCCTTAACCCAAGAACCATGTTCCGGCCTAGGAATATCGACTTGTTTTTCACCTCCGTCTCGGCGGCCACCGTCTCCAGCATGTCCACGGTGGAGATGGAGGTGTTTTCCGACGGCCAGCTCATAGTGATGACGGTGCTGATGTTCATCGGCGGTGAGGTCTTCACCTCCATGGTGGGGCTTCACTTAATCCGCCCCAAGTATAGGCCGTGGAGAAGTAACAGCAAAGTCACATCTGTGAGTAGTAATAGTAATAGTCCCCGCCATTCGAGGCAATCGAGCTTTCATGATGACCAAATCGAGTTGGACATTATGAGCATAACCGAGGAGACCCCAAACCCAAACCACAATGAATCTCGGTTAGACATCTTTTATTCTTCTTCTTCTCCTAAGGATTCGCGAGAGATGAAGTACGAGTCCATCAAATTCCTAGGAACCATAGCCGCAGGTTATCTTTTGTGTGTCAACGTTGTGGGCACAATTTTAGTTTTGTTGTACGTGAGATTTGTGGAAAGTGCGCGTGAAGTGCTGAGACAAAAGGGGTTGAAGCTCTTCACATTCTCAATCTTCACGGTAGTCTCAACTTTTGCGAGCTGTGGGTTCGTGCCCACCAATGAAAACATGGTGGTTTTTAGCAAAAACTCTGGCCTTCTTTTGATCCTAATCCCCCAAATCCTCTTGGGAAACACATTATACCCAGTATTCTTGAGACTATCCATATGGTTCTTTGCCAAGTTTTTCAAGAAACAAGAAGGCAGTTTCCTGTTAAAACATTCTAGGGAGATCGGCCACCTCCATCTCCTCCCTGGGTTGCACTCCAAGTACTTGGTCGTCACGGTCCTAGGATTCATCCTCGTACAGTTCACACTGTTTTGCTCTTTGGAGTGGAACTCATCGTCATCAAGCCTGGGCGAATTGAATGGTTTTCAGAAGATTGTGGGGTTTCTGTTTGAAGTTGTGAACGCGAGGCACACTGGGGAAACCATTGTTGATATCTCGACCGTTGCGCCGGCCATCTTGGTTTTGTTCGTCGTAATGATGTGAGTACTCTTTTTGTCCTTATAATAAGATTCCCGGTGGCAATAATCATGAAAAGTATATTCTTGACCTTTCCTATAGTCTCACCGTACCATATACTTAATTATAAAGAAAATAGAGTTAATCTTGACGCCCATTTTTTTTTTTTTTCATTCTTTTTCATAATTTATTATGATCAAAATATTCTTTTTGTATTACATTTTGAAAAATAATTATCATAATTTGAACTTACTCAGATATATACCCTATCAATTTTTATCTTTTTTCTTGAACTTTGTTTACTGTGCACAAGAAGTCTCATCACTTTGAGAGGTTGCTTATACACTACCGGAGTCTCTTTACTTTGAGAGGTTGCTTATACACTACCGCCAATAAGACTCGATTTCGGATTATTGTTCCCAAATTTCACTCTGTGACCAACTAAGCTGTCCATGCTGACAACTTCATTTAATAATTGATTATATTGCTGCAAATTAACACAAACTTTCAGGTCAAAGTCATAAATTTTGGGTATAAGAATTATGAATTCTCCTAGATTCCAACCCATCGTACGTTGGCCACTTGGCCGGATTTTTTTTTTTTTTTTGGAATAAAATAATTTAAATGAAATTACTTTTGATAATCATAGACGTTTAGATTAATGCAAATTATACAAGTACACATTGATAAAAATGTTAATTTTTAATATACTAAAGATTTATTTTTAGTATACTTAAGGTTCATTCTTAGATAGTATACTAAAGAATGAACATTCAGAACACTAAAAATGAATTTTTAATATATAAACATTCAAAGCAATATAATGAAACTAAACATTCAATATACTAAAAATAAATTTTATATAATTAGTTTATCTCGTAAGGTGAACCGTGATATCTAGTATAGTGATTGTCAAATTAAACACCAGGCTTGACTTTCATTTGTTATATATAGCGTATAGCTAAGCTAATTTAAAACTTGAAGGCTCCGATCCCATTAAATATTTAAATCCACGAAGCTGCATATTAAACAAACTAAGAAATTAAGTGTCATTATAAATTTGGCAATAATGCATGCATCCTAGGAATAAAACATTCAATTATTGTGTCAAAGCATAACTTGAATTATCTTCAACATGTGTCATTTTCGTAGTTTATGGGTCACTTCATATTTGTTATGAGCAATGAAAACCAAATATCTTATTGCATTATTAGAATTTTATTCAATTCACCCGCAATTATTTGATGTTTAGTCAACCTAAGATTCAAATAATTGTGGTTATATATATATATATATATATATATATATATATATATATATATAACCACAATTATTTGAATCTTAGGTTGACCTTTTATATAGGGAATTTATAAATATGAATTTCGGCCATGCACTTGAGGTTAGTTCATTGATAGTGTATCCATAGACAACTGGCAGTGCAATCAAGGGAAATGAACTGTTAGACATCCAGGGATGCACTATCAAGCTATTCTATGTGCTCGACGAAGTTCGAAAGATTTACGATAATATCATAAGGTTTTGTCATGTTTAAAAAAATAGTTTTATTTGCCATATTAATCTAACTTGAATCAACGATAATATGACATTTTGATCAGGTATCTACCTCCATATACGTCATTTATACCAGTGAAAGGTGAAGAACAATCTCAAGAGACTCAAAGAAAGAAGAAAGCAAGAAGAGTTGATAATATCATATTTTCCCAGCTTTCATATTTGGTCATCTTTATTGTTCTTATTTGTATCACAGAAAGGGAAAGGATGAAGGACGATCCACTCAATTTTAGTGTTCTTAGCATCACTCTTGAAGTAATAAGGTATCTTAGCTTCATGTTTACAATACTTTTGCATATATATTTGCTAATTACTCATAAATTCATAATTTAACAACTGAGAATATAGAAGTTGACACTTGACGCTAGGCCAAATACATGATAGCCAAGAATAATAAAAATAAAAATATATGGCACAAGTGTCAAATAGGCCCATCTACTACGGCAAAGTGTTCAATTCCCACCATTAACTAAATTAAGTGTCAAATAGGTCTATTTACCAGTTAAATTTGTTCAATTGACCTTTTTTACAGGTTACCAACATGTTGCCTATTAATTATTAAAATAAATAATTAAACAAATTAAACAAAAAAAAAAAAAAAAAGAACAGCCACCGGCTGTCCTCGCCGGTGGTTGCCATTTCAAAGACAGTCGTGGCTGTCTAATATGAGGTCCAGATCTGGACCTCATATTAGACAGTCGTGGCTGTCCGGCTGTCCTCGCCGGACAGCCACGGCTGTCTTTGAAATGGCAGCCACCGGCTGTCCTCGCCTGTTCTCTCTTTTGTTTTTTTTTTTTGCAAATTTTAATTATTTATTTTAATAATTAAATAGACAACCTGTTGGTAACCTGTAAAAAAGGCCAATTGAATGAATTTAGCTGGTAGATAGACTTATTTGACACTTAATTTAGTTCATGGTGAAAATTGAGCACTTCATAGTAGTTGATAGGCCTATTTGACACTTGTGCCAAAATATATTTATATTTAATTATATATATAGCATATGCATGTAACATACAATAATAATAATTTTTTGAAAAAGGATAAATAATGTAGTGCAATTATTCAGTCTTATTGCATCAGAATTAAGACGTACACCTCCACCAAGGTTCTAGATAGTTGAAAATGTCAATAGAAAATTGAGTGATAAGATAAGATTGTTATTAGAATTGATAGATACACAAAATTTGATTGAGAATTCTTTAGTGTAAATGAAATATTAATTCATTTAAAGAGAAATATTAATTTACTTAAAGTGAGTATTACCAAAAGTTGATTTAGAATTGTATATATATATATATATATATATATATATATATATATATATATATATATATATATTTCTAATCAAGTTGAAAACCAACAGTAACCTACGAACTATGAACTTGTAAAGGATTGCACTGCAACTACTACATGTTTGTACTGTTATGACTCTCAAATATATCTGGAGGACCTTGTGATGCAATCGTATCCGAGTGTGATGCTATCATGTAGTAAGTGCGGTGCAATCCTTCACAAGTTCGTAGGTTAAAATTGGTTCTCACCTGCTTATGAACACGCGCGCGCGCGCACACACACACACACACACATATATATATATATATATATATATATATATATATTTTCTTGTTCTTCTCTCTATCTCTTTTTTGGTTTGAGAGAGCTTAAATTTAAAATTGGGCACATATATTTTTTGCAGTGCTTATGGAAACGTTGGTTTCACAATGGGGTATAGTTGTGCCCGAATGCTGAAACCCGACTCAAATTGCAAGGACAAACTGTATGGATTGGTAGGGAAGTGGAGTGATGAGGGCAAAATAGTCCTCATTTTTGTTATGCTTTTTGGAAGGCTCAAGAAGTTCAATATGAAAGGAGGAAAAGCATGGAAGCTCATGTAATTATTTTAAGCAAGAGTGGGTTGCTCTCCTCCCAACCTCTTTCCAATAGTCAAATGGCTATTTTAGGGTGTAAATCACACCAAGAATGGTATTTTGATTTAAAAAAAAAAAACTAAATAAAGCCCTAGCTAATAAGAGTTCTCCAAATCTAGTCCTACAATTGTAAGAAAGATGCAAATGATGAAACCAACTAAAAGAAATGGACAACAAACAATAGATGGGAAAGAAGAGAGTGAATCCTAGTGAAAGGTTTATTTGATCAATAGCTAAACTTATAAAGGCTGACACTTATAATATTTTAATTCCTAAGTGTGAGAAATTGCTATCTAATGTAATTACCACTCTCGTGCTCAAGTATGTGATTAAACTATGTAAATTCTACTCTTGTAGCAATTCAGGAAATTCAACAAATTAAGCAAAAGTAATATAAAGTTCCCTAGAGAAATCACAACTCTCATGAGGTGTCTTCTAGTGTTTTTGCAATGCCTTAGTTAACGCCACCTTCGTGCGTAATTAACAAGTAAGAATCACATATAACTTGATCAAAGTTCTATGTAATTATTAATTAAATCACGCAAACACAAGACGTAAAAGAAATAGAAATATTATAAACTCAAGAATTTAAGAACAAGCAATATGAATAAATTTTCCAAGAATTCAAATCGTTAAAAGAAAATTAGCCACTAGTGATAGTGAAGAAATCACAAAGGTTCAATTCATAGTAAACATCTCAATTACAACAAATTAAAAGATAATTGGATTGATCGTTCTTGAAGCCTTGCTATCTACCTTTCCTTCCTTAGCTATGTTTGAAACCAAACTCCAAGCTTTATTGGAAAGATTTTCTCTCCAAAATTGAAGTGTCTAAACCCTAGCTAGCTTCGTTCTTCTATCGTTTTTAGGCTTTTAGGATCCAAAACTGCATTTATAGAACACAAACCGACTTTGAACAATGAAATTTAGAAATTTCTAAATAAGGCTTGATGCATCAAGAAAAAGATGGCCTCTGAATGATTGAATCTTGCAACAAGAAATTTCTTGTTGTAATTAATTAAGGACAAACGTTATGATGCAGCTCTAACTTTGAAACTACTTTGATCATTGTAACGTCAGAATTAGCTCTTATATTCTTCATAATAAGAGTTGTAACATTTTAAGTTGGATTTCCAATGCTACTAGAATCACTTCAATTGGACGTTCCTACATCAAGTTATGATCAAAATACTAAGAAGTGGTCATTTTAGACAGGATTTTCAACTTTGCACACTTTTGCTCCATTTTTACTTTGGTTTGCACATATGATCAAGACCATTCAAAACACCAATGTTAGGCTCACCAAAAAGTGTTTTGGCCATTTTCTTAGCTCCATAAGTTAAATTTTGGTACCATAATCATCAAATACATAATATATATATATATATATATATATATATATATATATATATATATTAGCCTCAAAAGATAACCAAAACATGCAAAAATGTTAAGTTAATACATTAAAGCTAAATCAAGAACAAGCACACAAAATAAATGTAAATGTACAAAGTTTGCATATTAAAACCTTTGTTGGCTAATTTATTTTGTTTTAATTTAGTTAGATTTAAGTTAGTCTAAAACTCTTTGGACCATTTCCTATCACATAAGTTTATTTTAAGTGGCTTTCAATTATTGTTTTTCTAAGAAGAGGAAGTCAGCAGATCTCACAGTATGTGGAATTTAAACAAAAACGTGTGGCTATGGTGCTTTGAAGATTATATATAGGATGCAATAATTATGGATCAAGCTGGTGGATGAGTTTAATTTACTATAAAAAGGAAGTCATCCCATTTTGGAAAGTGACGAATTGAGAACTGCTATTCTAAGTGAAAGAATATTTTACAAGCTCTTATATTATCTCTTTGATTATATTATTGTAGTTTAATTCTGGACTGCACAGACAGTACCTGGTACAGTTGAAGCTTCGCTTGAAGATTGTTATGGCATGCACGGTTCAATCCTGAATAGGTGTTAGAAAAGGTTGTAGTGGTAAAGGCTGAGAGTCATTTGTACTTACCTCTTGTAATACTCCTTGGTGAACATCTATAGTGGATTGGGCAAACGTGGGTTGTCCCGCAGACATAGGAGAAGCACTCCGAACTGCTTAACAATTCTCTTCTGTTATTGTTTTATTTTATGCTTTCAATTTTCATTATTTACATTTTATTAACAAATCTAATTAATGAACGCGATTGTTGCATAACATAAAATCAAGTAGAAATATAAGTTACATCTTGCAGTCAATATTCACGGTGCAATTTCAATAATCTTAAAAAATAATGTGCAAGTATATAAATTACTCACTTATCAATCCCACACATTTTAGCATTTGTTTGTCCTCAAGCAAAGAATAATAATCATGATTTCTTCAACAAAAGAGTACAATCGAAAATAATAATAAAGAAAATCAAACAAACAAAAGAAATGATAAATCACTTTTATAGGTAACACAATTACACTTAGCATGTGCAAAAAGCCCTTTAGACCCTTAGGTTTTCTCCTAGTGGATGAATACTCGTGACGGTTTGCTAAAGATCTACCCACAAAATTAAAATTCTCAAAAATTCAATCAAAGAAATTAAACATGTAAAATTAGTTTACAAGTTGACACCCAAACTACAAAGATTTACAAACAAAGTAAGAAATTAAACATGTCAAATTAGTCTACAAGTTAGCACCGAAACTACAAAGATTTACAAACAAAGTATTAATTGACAAGTCTCTTCTATATAAAACAAGATAGCAAACTTAGCCATTCATTCATCACCTTGACATGAGGAAAATGTGTGAATACCTTAGTGTATACTGCGAACTGTAATGACTCAACTCATATGGAATCCAATATTAGTTGCATTTAGAAGTCTCTCACTTGCTAGCTAGCTTAGTTTAGTTTAGCTCCCTGCTTATTCAAGAAATTCAAGACATTTATTCTAAGGTTTGACATACCTTTTCACATGAACAATTGTCACTTTTTGAGGCATCAATGCCTAGTTACTCAGTATGTCATATCATTATTAGTCTTAGAAATAATTTATTCCTAACGTTGATTCATATAAAAAATTGTGTAATTTCATAAGGTATTCATCGTGATGATTAGTGATGTATAAAGGTAGAATTACTGGGTGAAATTCTCTCCTTCTCATTCTATCAAAATTTAAGTTTACAATGGTTAAAAGATATATGTTAAAAAAGGTTATGAGTTCTCTTAAGAATATTGTCTATTCTAGGGGTGTTTAAGAAATACTGCTATCAATATTTAAGCAACCATTGAGGCAATAATTTGTTAACGGTTTTTCTCATCACATCTTTCATAGGCCCAAGAAAACTCTCAGAATTAGGATTTTCTAGTCTCCATATCATCAGGAGGTGATTAAGGGAAGTTTTAATTTTTTCGGTCTAGAGATTATGTTTCCAATGAAAAAGTAAGTTTTATCTTTATTTCTGTTTTAAGATATATACTACTTTAGTTATTTCCTTATTTCTTTTTAATTTTAAAAAGTATGTCACCGGTGCGATACACGACTATGTAGTTATGATTATAGTATAATTAAGAAATATAAAATGATTAATATATTGTGACTAAAAGTAAAATAACTTGATGGAATTCAAAATACAATAATCTTACAAATTATTAAAAATTTCTTTGTAAACTACATTTTGTGTAGTGTTTAAAGAACCTCTAATCACCACATATTAAAACCTTGAGTCCATCAGGATTACTAACCCTCGAGACTGCTACGTACAACTGGCCATGGTTAATTAAACACATGTTGTTTTAGTAACAGACCTACATGTGATAAAGTTTGTTCTTGACTTTTGTTGATTGTCATATATATATATATATATATATATATATATATATATATATATATATATATATATATATATATATATATATATATATATATATCGTATGACAACATCACTAGAAATTGCTTCCTTTGAAATTTAAAAGGAATGAAGTATTGTGTCTGAAGGAGTCAATGCCAACGTGGGATAAGAATAGTTGTACCTGCATTATTTCCACACAGAATTTGAGCTCCAATGTCATGGTTGCGTAATTGGTGTTTGAATGTTCTCATTTTCTTAGCAGATAAATTCAATATGGGTAAGAAGTAAAAGGATAAGTAAACATTTAATAACTAAAGCATTGATTAAATATTAAAATAAAAAAAAATTACACAGAATATGAACAATATAGATCCATATTAAAAAAAAAAAAAAAAGATGTTGTCTTCTCTCTGTTTTGCTCTCTGATTGAGTCACTACTTCATTGATATTTTAAATAGTGTTTTAACTGTAGAAGTTCATGAAGAAACAAACAATCTAGCTAAAAGGAAGAAAGGCTTTTAGATGTTCACATTTACCTTTGTTAGTTGTTATGTTCTTCCTCTCCAACCCCCACCCCGACCACTGTGGATGAAGTTGTCTTTCTCATTGACTTATAAAGAGGATTCTTCAAATAGAGTTTGTGAATAATATTGTATAGGAATTTGCAAATAGGGTTTGTGAATAATATTGTATAGGATTAGTTTAGGTGTATACCATGTTGGTATATTAAGATTTGAGGAATAAAATCTCACTTAATGACTTAACATAAATAAAACCCAAAGATTACCTTAAAAAGAAATCTTCCAAAACGGTATCACTTTTATTAGGCGGAAAAATACCATAATCTGATTGGGCAAAGTTCTATGACTTTATTATATAGAAGATTATATTTTTCCCACCACTCCAATGGTCCTACCAATTATAAATTGTCTTCTTCTTAGTTCTTATTCAGATTAGATTTTGAATTTTTGATAAGTTATTGTTCAGTGCCTAGAGAAAAAAGGACCCAAAACGAGAAACATGTACATATGTTTATTTGCTGGTTAGCGTAATTGAACGTGTATGGCTCTGATACCAGATTAGAGAATTCAATTGATTCAGTTACGATAGAATTGTGATACAAAGTATATCTGTAACTAAACTGAAACTACTCCTATTAACTAGGCCACACCAAGTCAACTACACCTAATACCATATAATAA